CCATCCATCATGACACTGTCTATTGATCCAGTGGTAACAATCTTTGTTTTCTTGTTATTGAGACACAGTCCATAGCAATCTTGATCTTTTGCAACAGGTACTCCAAGTCCTGCTCACTTTGAGCAAGCAAGGTTGTGTTATCTGCATAATGCAGACTATTGATGAGTCTCCCTCCAATCCTTATGCCATGTTGCTCTTCACAGAGTCCAGCTTCTTGGATAATTTGCTCAGCATATAGCAAATTATAGCATATCCTGGTGGGTGTTTGTGATATACTTGAAAGCTGGGGGTAAACTGATTGTCTCTAATTATGTTAGCAATCAAGTGTAAACTGATTAACTGTATCTGATCTTATTTACAGTCAGCTTGGGTGGGAAGCCTCTTTTGTGAGCAAACAGGATCTGGTGGGCAGGCCTTTATATTTAAAAATTGGTTGGGCCCTTCATCCTGCTTTTGATTGTGTTTGGAGAGAAGGTTGTTCTAAGTGGTGCAGCAGTTGTCTGTCAGTTTGCTGTACTGCCACTCATTATTTCAGTTGTTTCGGATACTGAAACTTTTTGCACTGATGTGTCAAATTCCAAAAGGATTTCCCAACATTCATGGGTTCATTGGAACTCCTTTATTAAGACAGACTGGGAAGCAGGTTGAGCCATCTGCTCCCTAAATAAAAGGCTTTGGATAAACTCTATGAACACTTAACAAAGTAACCAATTATGTGAAACTTTATGAGGAATATATTGTGGTCATTTTGGGGAGGGAGAGAAATAGCTCTTAAATTTCTACAGAAGGTTGGAAAAGACCGTGGTCACTCAAGAAGAAAAAAAAATCTAATGTCAACTGAAATAATGATGCATGGAATCCCTTCTGTCTTAAGGTTATAGAGATCAGTATCTTCCACATCTGAGTTCTAGCTTAGGATAAATTAGGCTGGTCTTGTCCACTGTACACTCATGAAAGAATGAGAGTGAAAAGAGCAAGAAATATGTTAGTATTATAAAACAAAATTTGCAACCTTGAGGACCATGCTTTGAGAAGTGCTAGCATACAAAAAACACAATGTGCGTTTATGCTTATTGCAAATAAATTTATAACGAGAAGAACCAAAAAATAGCAAAATCTGTGAGCCAGGGGTTGTTTTGAATCTACCCATTAATTTAAAACCTTAACCTCAGGTCAAAACCAACTCATAACTGCCCCTATGGAAAATTTTGGGAGACTGTATATCACGGGGGAGGCTGTGACCCATCTTTTTCCTATTAAGCATCGGACTGCCAAAAAGACACCATCTTTGGGTTCTTAATATCAATCCCTCCTTTGTTATTATCCTAACTGAAGCTGTATTCATATTCTTCATATTTTAGAGAAAATACATAGAAATGAAGTGGAAAACAAGGAAATTTGTTCTAAATATCCCTTACTGGCTAAGTAATCAGGGAGCTTATACTAAATATCCCATGGACTGCCAAAAGAACAAGTACATCTTGGAAGAAATTCAGCCACAGTGCTCCTCAGAGGCAAAGATGGCAAAACTTTGTATTTCATACTTTCCGCGGGAGGCTAGGAGAAGCTATTTCTAGAAAAGAGATACCATGCATGGAAAGGTGAAGTGTCAGCAAAAGTTAGGAAGACCTGTTCATAGAGTCGCTCTAAGTCATACTCAACTGAAATGCACTTAAGAACACCAATAACAACATTGTAATTGGAGGTGGGGCACAACACTTAGAACAATGATAAAAAGAAGAAACTCTGTAAGTTATCAAAAGGTGATGTTCCCAGGAAGAGCTGTTTGGCCTAATTAATATACAGTGATTACCTTTGGCAAAAGAAGCTCAAAATTTTGATTGTCTTGAAAACATACTTTTTCAATCCATATGTGGAACAGATCATTTAGGAGACTTTATGAGGAGGAAATGGCATTAGACTTGGAGGAAGACTCATCAACAACCTGCATTATGCCGATGACAAAACCTTGCTTGCTGAAACTGAGGAGGACCTAAAGCATTTGCTGCAGAAGGTCAAGGACTGCAGCCTCCAATATGGATTCAAGCTCAACATCAAGAATACAAAGATTCTCACCCACTGATCCATTTGGCAGCACCATAATAAATGGAGAAGAGACTGAAATTGTGAACAATTTCAGCTTCCTCAGGTCCACAATCAATACTCTTGTTGACACCAGCAGTTGGAAATCGAAAGACAAATTGCATTAGGAAAATCGGTTGTCAGTGACCTCTCTAGAATGATAAGGAGCAACAGTGTGAGCCTAGAGACTAAGGTGAGCCATGGTCTTCACAGTTACTTACTATGCATTAGAAAGCTGGACAATAACTAAGGATGACAGAAGAAGAACTGATGCCTTTCAATTTTGATGCTAGAGAAGAGAATTGAATATACCATGGACTGCCAAGAGCATGAACAGGTCTGTCCTGGAGAGGGGGAAACAAAGTTGTTTACTGGAGGCAAGGATTTTTTAAGCTCTGTGTCACATGCTTTGGGCATGTTGCCAGGAGAGACCAGTCCTTGGAGAAGGACATCAGGCTTGGAAGGGTGGAGAGAGAAGACAGAAGATGAAGACCCTGGATGAGATGGATTAACAGAGTAACTGGAATAATGGGGGTAAGCATGTCACAGACAGTAAGATTGGCTCAGGACAGGGCAGGGTTCAGAGCTAATGTACACAGAGTCACTATGAGTCTAAATCAACTTGATAGCACATAACAACAGTAGAGAACTGCCAGAACTGAAAGCTAGGTTTAGGGGAGGCTGTGCCTCATAGCCAATGCCAGATGGATCTTGGCTGAAAGCAGAAAGTACCAAAAGAATATCAGTGTTTCACTAAGTATGCAAAGGCAATTGAATGTGTGGATCACAACAAATTGTAGTTAGTGAAAAGAATGGGAATCCCAGAACACTTCACTGTGCTCGTTTGAAACCTATACTTGGAGCAGGAATTCGTCATCAGAACAGAGCAAGGACAGACTGCATGGTTCAAAATCAGGAAAGGTGTGCATCAGGGATGGTCCTATCTCCTTACCTTTCCAATCTGTAGGCAAAACAGGTAATTCAGGAGGCCAGGACCTTATGAGGAAGAATGTAGCATCAGGATTAGAGAAGACTATCAACAACCTGTGTTATACAGAGGACACAACATTGTTTGTCAAAACTGAGGAGGACCTGAGAGATTTGCTCCAGGAGGTCAAGGACTGCAGTCTTCAATATGGATTGAAGCTCAACATCAAGAAAACATCAGGATTCTCATCACTGGGCCAATTGGCAGGACCACAATACATGGACAAGAATTTGAGATTGTTCACAGTTTCAGCTTGCTCAGTTCGACAATCAACACTCTAAGCACCAGCAGTCAGGAAATCAAAAGACAAATTGCATTAAGAAAAGGTGATGTTAGGGACCTCTCCCTAACTGATGTCAGGCTAGAGACCAAGGTGCACCTGATCCAGGCCATGATCTTTACAATTACTTTCTGTGCATCAGAGAGCTGGACAATGATTAAGGGTGACAGAAGAAGAATTGATGCCTTTGAGTTGTGGTGCTGGAGAAGAGTATTGAACAAATAAATGGACTGCTAGGAGAACAAACAGGTCTGTCCTGGAAAGGGTGAAGTTGCTTCTTGGAGACAAATATTTTTAAGCTCTGTGTCACATACCTTGGGCATGTTGCCAGGAAGAAACAGTTCTTGGAGGGCATTATGCTTGGAAAGGTAGCATGACAGCACAGGAGAGGAAGACCCCAGAGTAACTAAAGTATTGGGGGTTAGTGTGTTGGTGTCAGTGAGACTGGCTCAGCATAGGGCAACTGGATAGGGTTCAAAGCTGTTGTACATGGAATCACTGTGAGTCACCAGTGACTCAGTTGCACATAACACAATCATCACGTACCTTGGGTATTGATGGCAAATTCAAATAAGCTGAAAACATTGACAATTTCAATCTTTTCTCCATATATCATGGCCCTACCTATTGAGCCCATGGTAAGGAATTTTGTTTTCGTCTAGTCCAGACTCTCAAATTGAGTTGTTCAGATTGTATAGGTGTGGAAAAAGGATACAACCCTGATGCAAAGCTTTACTGATTTTGAACTGTGAACTATTCCCTTGTTCTGTTCAGACAGTTACTTCTTGGTCTAGATATAGATTTCTTATGAGCACAATTAAGTGTTCTGGAACTCCTGTTCTTCTCAATAATAGATATAATTTGATATGTTCCCCACAACCAAATGCCTTTACATTATCAGTAAAACATAAATAAACATCCTTCTGTTATTCTCTGCTTTCACCTAAGATCCATCTGACATTGGCAAGGATAGCCCTGCTGCCAAGATATCTTCTACATCAAGACTGATTTTCTGGGAGTTCTTTGTTGATATACTCTTGTAGCCATTTTAAAATAATCTTTAGCTAAATTTTACTTGCATGTTAATAATATTGTCCAAAACGGCCATATTCTGTTGCATCAACTTTTTAGAGAATGGGAGCAAATATGAATCTCTTTCAGTAGTTGGCTAAGTAACTGTCTTCCAGATTTCTTGATATAGGCTAGTGAGCATGTCTAGGGCTGCATCTCTTTGTTGAGGCATGTCACTTGGTACCTCATCAATTCCTGGGATCTTAGTTTCTGCCAAAGCCTTCAGCCCAACTTGAACTTCTTCCTTTCAGGCATGTATCTTGACAGGAAAACCACCTAATATTGGGAGTTGCTTTATCTGGGTATTGAGAAATGCTAGGAATCTGAGTAAATTTTATTTAATTTAACATCATAAGTTGACCTTTCTGAGTAATTTATCATCACTGTTTATGGATACATTGGTGACTTGGAGTTGTTTTTTTTTTTTAAATTCTTGGTATTTTTTAATTTGCACTACTTTCTTATTGAGTCTAGTATAATTTTATTCTGAATGCTTAAATTATTTCCCAGTGTATATGATTATTCCATTTTTAAAATGTTGTGGTGCCTTAGAGAGCATCTGTTTCTTTTCCCCCATAGCAATCGTGTGGAAGCATGGACAAGAGATGTGGCTTTCTTACTAAGACAAGAAGGCAGGCCAGTGGTTGATCTTATCCCTAATAAGACCAAAGTAAGAGTGATGGAAAAAGACTGGACAAATACAGACAGAGCAGTAAAGTGGTTAAGAAAGGAAGCAGTTAATTACACTCAACCCTTTGTTCTCTATTTGGGATTAAATTTACCACACCCTTACCCTTCGCCATCATCAGGAGAAAATTACGGAGCTTCAACTTTTCACACGTCTCTTTACTGGCTTGAAAAAGTAAGTATACTATGTGTGTCAAAAGACAAATTGCATTAGGTAAGTCTACTGTCAAGGACCTTACTAAATAAGGTGCTCCTGATCCATTCTATGGTTTGTAATTATTTGTTTTGCATCAGAGAGCTGGACAATGACTAAGGATGACAGAAGAAAAATTGATGCCTTTGAGTTGTAGTGCCAGAGTCTTGAACCATGGACTGCCAAGAAAACGCATAGGTCTGTCTTGGAGAGGTTGAAACCACGTTTCTCCTTGGAGACTAGGATTTTGAAGCTCCATTTCACACACTTTGGGCGTGTAACCAGAAGGTTACAATATTTAGAGGTGGACATCATGCTCAGAAGGGTGGAGGAGAGGAAGACCCCGAATGAGATGGATTGATATAGTAACTAGGGTTATAGGGGTAGGTGTATCAGAGTCAGTCAGACTGGCTCAGGACAAGGCAGGCTTCAGAACTATTGTGTATACGGTCACTATGAGTCGCAAGTGACTCGACAGCACATAACAACAATATAGGAAGTAATTGGTTAATGGGTGTAGAGTTTGTATTTGGAATATTGAAAAAGTTTTCGGAATACTTTGCTGATGATTGAAAAATAAAGAATTCTGGGTATTGTCAAGGTCTGAAATTTATTACAACCCATAGTGACCGTATAAACAACAGATTGAATCCTTTTCCTATCCTGCACTTCCTCATGGTCACTCCCATGCTCAAGTTCATTGTTGCAATCACTGTGTGAATTCATCTTGTTGAGGGTCCTCCCCTCTTTCACTGACTCTCTATTTGTTCCACCATGATGTCTTTTGCCAAGGACTGGACCCTCATGAGAACTTATGAGTTGAAGTTTCACCATCCTTGCCTCCAAGGAGCACCTGTTTGCATTTTCTCCAGGATATATTTGTTTCTTCTTTTAGTAGTCCATATGCAATGTAGTCTACCTATTCAGTGAATTTGGTAGTAATCCAAATTCAATTCAACTCTTCTCTGACACCATAACCCAGGGGTCCTCTGTCATCTTTGTTCATTGTCCAACTTTCAGATGCATAGCGAATACTTTAAAAGACCGTAGTTTTAATCAAGTGAACCTTGTTGTTATTTGTTGTTAAGTTCCATCGAATCATATACAACTCATAGCGACTCTATGAACAAAAGACCTGAACACTTGTATAACTTTCATCCTTTCTCCAAGTTCATAGAGTTTCCAGAGGTAAGCTATTTTGGAGGCAAGCTATTTGGGAAGTGAATGCCACTTCTCCTTCCAAGCTTGTTTTAATCAAGGAGCTCAGCCAAACACTGTCCACCATGG